CAGATTAGACTGCATTATGAACTCTAAATGCATTTAGCCTGAAAGTCACTCTTTTCTAATCTCTGATATCGCTCAATTTGATGAGAATTGTTTCATGACACTGAGCCCTCTTCCCTGTGGAAGTTAAGCTGGACCTGTTATGACCGAAAGCTACTTAAGCATTGAGGGACACAACCCAAAATGGTTAAGCATTGCCTTCATAAATTTTGTAAAAAATACTGGAGAAAACTTTGTATCCAGATGGTTTTTTGCTCTTTTCCCATTCCCTAGTGTTGTTTAAAAAGTTAAATGGTGCTTTGCACTCAAGAATAAAAGCCCCTTAAAAAAGTTCATTGCAGGTTCGTAAATAGCATTCATGAAAATCAAATGTTAATAATGAAATTTTAATAAGATCTTATCATTAGGGTTCAAGTATGTAAATTAGTAGAAGCATCTTTTGTTCAGAAGGGGACACTTGAGGTGTAAGAACTATCATTATTCATTGTTTTTCAGAGTATGACATAAACATCATGTGCTTGCTATAAAGTATTTGCAAGTAGGGACCGAAATTTGTGTCCTTACCCAATGACTGAGGACCTTATGAAAGACACTACAGCTCAGGAAAAGCACATACATACACATGTTCACAGGAGGCAAACAGCAGGAAGGATACTTAAAAGGGTTCAATCTCAAACTCCAAACTGGAGTACACATGGAATTTTACTTTTTTTCTCTTTGGTTCAATTTAGTCCCCAGTCTCTCAGTTTTGCCTGTACAGGGGCCAGTCTTAATTTCACATTTTAAGAATTGCTACTCTTTGTACAAATGTTGCTGCAGTGTTCTAAGAGTTTTACATAATTGTGCAGTTTGGTGAGATCACTTCATAATTCAAAAACCCCAGGATAGTGACAAGCCCTGCCTGCAAGGCTGGGAGTGTAGGTCAGAGGCAAAGTGCATGAGTCTCTGGGGTTTGTTTTCCCTCAGTACAGTTAAAAAATAAAATACAATAAAATAAGATTCCTGAGTGGAGAACAGGATATAGAGGAAAGAGAGAAAAGAAATTTAACAGTGAGTCCAGTAAGAGAGGATAAGAAAAAGCATAATTTCATATGCAATTACAAAAGTGCAATTAAAAAAGTACAGTCTACATTTATCCAGCAGTTACAAGAGTTACTAGATACTGACATGTTAACACTACAGTACATTAGCCTTTGTTCTGTCGGTTAGCAATAATGCTATTACACTGAATGAAAGAAACACAGGTCTTGGCTGAGCTCTTACAGTCTTCATATGCCTGTCTTTTCAGGATATTTAAATATTCTTTCTGTGGTTTATTCTCAAAGTCCACTCCAATTAAGCAGATCTAATCATTGGTGCATACATATATGTATGAAGGGTACTTTATAACAAGAAATAAGGAATAAAAATGGTCATTATTTTAGACCACTAACACCACTGAAAACTTTCTGCAAATACCTGGCTACCTCCAGTTAAACTCAGATAGCTATGGATCCAGGCACTACTTAAATAGGAGCAGAAAAAAGGGCGGGGTTTTTCTTTCAAGTTAAGTGTCAGCACTAAAAACATGTCTCCTTTTGTGCCATCTTCCTAACAGTTCTACCAGCCATAAAACTTCTCTCTCTTCCAAATTAGTTATGTACTTTGGTCTCTTTTGATAGTTTTCAATCTCTTTTCAAACATTTTTCCCAACTTATTGGTAAATTATCTGAGAACAGGCAATTAATAAAACACTTGGAAAAAATGAAAAAAGATGAGACGGTATCATCCCCACACTTTATTCTGTATTTATTTTAAAGCCAGTATCAGGCAGCTACACACACACAAGAGAACAAAGGTTACAAATGCTGTTTGTGCTGGCCACAGCTGCCAAGCTTGGAAGGCTGAAGCACAATACAATGGTGGATAAGGTCATCAGCTTTCTGTTTTTGGAACACAATTCTTGCCATAAACAACTCAAAGGATAAAAAGCCTTGATTAAGGTTTATGGCTCCTGGTTTTAGAGTTTTCACCCTCAGGTGGGTCAGGTTGGGGCATAAACTTCACAGCTAAAGGGTCTGGTGGAGGGTGGAGGAAAGCTGCTCACGTCATGGTGGCCTGGAAACAGAGACAGCTGGAAAGGCCAGGAGAGATACTGCAATCCTTGTTTAATGACTGAGTTTTCTCCCATGGAGTAGGTCATTAAATGAATTGGTTGCTCAGTAAGAAATCGTGTATAGCATGTTCTTTACAACATTCAGAACAAAGAATTAGTGAAAGGAAACTCCAGCCTGATGACTTTGCTTTTATTTGTGTAACAGCTGCCCATGGTATGGTAATGTATAATAGACCATCAAACCACAGCACTGTACAGTAATCAGCAAAAATTATAGTACTGCATAAACATGGCGTACTGTACCATGAAGACATTTAGGCTCTATAAACAAGGTGTACAGAACTGTACAAAAAAAAGTGGAGTCATAAATTCGAATACTCATTAGACAGGTGTGTTGTTAAATAAGGCATGTCTGTACTCTTTGAAGCTATTCCCCAGTGACCTGGCTCTTTCACCTTAACCCACTTCCTAATACCCCATCAGCTACAAACTCACCAGTGTGCTGACCTATTGAAGAGTTAGTTTCCTAAGGATTAAATCACCTTCAGAAAGTCCTACCTCTTAAGATACCTGGGAGACATTTTAAAGAGTTCGATCACAATAATAAACAAACCTAAGGATGCAGACCACACATCTAGGCTCTCCATCACTCTGAAAACCTAACAGATTATTTTCTCAGAATCACTGTTTATCAAATGAGCTTCCTTTTTGAGTATAGTGGGTTAATTCAAGTATTTCATAGTAAGCTGGAAATACTTCTAATGACTTTTTCCTACCAGTACTACCAAACTAGGTTCCTCCTTCTGCATCATATGCAATGCCTTGCTAATTCCATACCTCTCATTAGAAATAGAGATTATGCCTTGTTTATTGACCTGGACAGCTGTTTGAACTTACAATTCAGGTACACTCTTTAGACATGACAACTCATCTTTTTTTTTTTTTTTTTTTTGGTACAGTTCTCAATATCCTGCTTATAAAGCCTCAATGTCTTTTTGGTATACTATGCCTTGTTTATACAGTACTATAGTTTTTGCTAACTACACTGCACAGTCCATACTATAGCTTTATGTTGTTACACGTTACAGTACTTCATGTAAAAGTTATACAAATAAAAACAAAGACATCGAGTTTCCTGACCATTTCTTTGTTCTGCATACTTACAGATAATATGCAATTCCTCATTTAGTGACCAATTCATTTAATTACCTAGTCACTCAGGAAAGGCACTCAGTCATAAAATGAGCAGTCCCTACAGCCTATTGTATTTAGGCACATTCACTAAGCATGCTGTACAAATAAACACTATTTATTGAAAAGAGAAATGTTTTCAATATATGTATTATTTTTGTAATGTCTGACACTGAGGAAAAATTACCTATCTGACAAATTTTGGATATCCAGGCAAAACAAGCAACGTCATGCTTGTTTCGCCTGGATATCCAAAAATATGTATGATTTGCCTATTTTGATGCAGAAGGGAGTGATTTGGCATAGGTCTTATGAGACTTGTTGTCAAAGGGCAAGAAAAATTTCTCAGTGCATTCTTTTTGGGGGGCCCACTTTTAAGGACTACTTGCTTCCAACAATTCCTCTGGTGATGATAAAACTGATGCATGTGGAGGAATGGAACGCGGTCCCTAAAGGAGGCAAATCTGTAGAGTTCTCATTCATACTTTATCTACGTCAACCACTGACTTCGGGGGACACGACGACCCCAGTGCAATCCCTGCACTCTGACCACACTCCAGCACGCCTCCCGCGGGGTGAAGCCAGGCGCCTAGCATGACCCCGCCACCCTCCCAAGGGCTGCCTCAGCAAGCTCAACTCACTGCTTTAACCAACACTAAAGGGACTAAAGGGCTCAAAGAGGATGCTTTTCTATGTCCCTTGCTAAATTAGGATCCGAGAGCTAAACCCTTTACCTGCAGTCAACTAGACCCTGGTTTGGCTTCAGGTTTCTGAGGCAGAACAAACACTGCGGGTCACCACCTGTAACCTACGCATCCCTTTCTCCTTTTTACTTGTCAGAATACTGAGCACCTACATTTCTCCTTTTCCTATTAAAAAAAAAAAAAAGTTCCCTCTGCGGAACCGAAATAAATTCGGCTTTTTCTCCCGACTATCGGGAGTGGCCGGCTAAGGTCTGTCTGCACCTCAGCTACATGACTGATGGCGACTCCCTGGAACCCTAATCTCAGCTCCTGTGCCAAGAGGGTTCCAATTATAAAGTCCTACCTTACATTCAGGATCTACACAGAATATTGCATTTTTGAAAAAAACCACAAAATACCCATTCTCTCGTCAATACCGACGATATCCAAAATGAGTTTGGGTCTCGCCCTAAATTGTCTTCCCTGCTTCCGGTTTACCGTAGAAGGGAAAGCAGGACTCAACAGCCCCTACCTCACCGCGAAACCCCAAGACAAGCAGAGATTAGGCTTGGCAAGGCCGGCGAGCGCCTTCACCTCAGAATCCTTAGGAGCCGGCTCCTGTCTCAGCCTGGAAAGGCGCGCAGGGTTGGGGGCGGGACTTCCCAACACCTCTGGAAGCCAGGGTACCGCGCGAGCCTGAAGCCAGGAGGGGGCGGGACCGAGAAGCGGCCTGGGAAGGTCGGGAAGCGGAAGTGGATGCAGCGGGGTGGAAGAGGATCTTCGGAAAGCGGAAGTGACCCCGGAAGCGCCACAGCTGCGCGCTGGCGGATTCGGACTGCGGGATGTGCTAGGTACTTAGCAACGCAGGCCTGGAATGTCAAGCTGCAGTCGATGCTAGCATCTTTCCCGACGAATTTCCAGCGCTGAGCCGCCCGTCGGAGCCCCAGGTTCGTCTTGAAGCCCTGGCGCAGGCGCAGTACTGTCCGCTTGTGAGGCCCTAAGCGCCGCGCGCAATCGCCCTGTGCTTTGGGGGGCGGGCGAGGACCCAGTCTGCCAGGCAAACGCTCCGTCCTGGAGCACTGTGAGCTCACCGTACTGACTCAGGCAGCGCTACCCGTGGTCTATAGGCTCCTTCACCTCTGCGTGTCCTGCTTGACTGAAACATCCCCAGTATCAATTGTGTGACGCTGCCAACTTCTCAGAAAGTGAGCCACACTGTCGCGGTATGGGCGCTTTCTTTCTGCGTGCGTTACTATTTTTCTGTGCTGCAGTCCATCTATGACTACGCACATAGGCGAGGCTGTAGATTATTAGAGCCAGAGGTTGAAAAGGCTGAGGACCAGGAGGTACCCCCATTGCCACTGCTGTCCTTCCTGACTTCCACGTCTTAGAACTTAAAGTGCAGCTCTTTTGTTGCCCTAGGCGCTGCGGAAACACAGAGGAACTGACAAGGCCAGAAATACCTGCAGAACCATCAGATGAAGACCTAGCACTTGTGGGACAGATACGTGTGGAGGTGGAAGTGTCATTAAGAAACCTGGAGGAGGAGCATCGACGTAAAACATCCCATCTTGAGAGTGATTTGCCAGATGAGTTCTTAAGGAATCAGTTCGGGCACGGAAAGAGCATTTCAGGGAGGGAAAGCAGCTGTGGACAGCGCCTGGCTTGAACTGGGTGAGTGGTGGGACCCATAGTCAATGAGGGGCTTGGTTTCCGTTCTGATTCTTAAGTCATTGTGGGACATTTAGTCTTTAGGAAAGTCATTATTGGCAAGTAGTATTCATCAGGCCAGGTTGTAGGTACTGCAAATGTCATCTTGCAGCTAAAACTGGACAATTCCGTTAAAGAAGTAATTAGGGCAGTGAGTGCGCTCAGTAACGGTGTTTAGAGGAAATAACTTGAAATTACTCTGAGGAAGAACAAAATGAGGTAGGTAGAAAGACTGTGTATCCTAAGGCTTAGCAAGAAATGTGTAGGATTTGAAGATCTGTCAGGGAATAGAGTGCAGGTGGCCTATAACAACTTGAAAGATAATTTATGCTGTGCCAGCCTGAAATCAAATTGAAGCTTGAGAATCAGACTTTATATTGGCAGTCTGAAGTGAAGCACTTTTGACTTTTTTCCTTGTTTCCTATCTGCCTTGGCCTATTGTTTCCTTATTAAGTATGGATTCTGAATTTAATGATTCCAAAATAATGGATAAATAGGAAACGACTTTTAGTGGAGCAGTTAGCTTATTTTCTGTTTACTGAGGGAAGCTGTTATTTTATCACCTTTGTAGAACTTGAACACAAACTGGAGAGTGAAAACTGGTCTCAGATGGTCAGGCAAGTTCTCCTTTCCTCCCAGTTTCCAGCCACTTGGCAGAGAGTTTGCTCAGCTGCACTGAAACTGCTTTGTAGTGAGGCAGCAAGGCAGCTTGCCTGACACATTTGAACATTTTTGCTCTTAAGAAAATTATAAAATTTTAAATACCTCAGGACCTTGCAAAATTGTAATTCTTGGAATAACCCAAATATATATTGTTTATCTAGTTGCACTTATGGGTTCTGAATCTTAGGCTTGCTTACTTGAATTTTCAGATGCTACTACAATTGAATAATGGCTAACACCTTTTTTCTGCAGCACTGAATTCTTGTGTACCTTATTCTCTGAATTGGGATTTAAGATGAGCACCTGTATAGTAGGTATCATCAAATTAAACCTTTAGAATTGCACTTCTTAACTGTCAGCCTGCACATCTAGCACGACTAAGTACTGTGTGTGAGTTTTTCTGGTGCTGGTACAAACAAGAAAACTTGAGAGAAGGGGAGAAAAGAAGAAAGATAGAGGAGATAGAATGAGAAGAAAAAAAGAAGAAAATATGTAATTAGTAGAAAAGAATACACCAGGTAATGTACTTGCTTTAGAGAAATCCACATTTGAGAGATAGGTCAAAGATTATAATGGAAGATAAATTAGAATTTGTTAAAAAATGAATATACCGGGCCTGGGAGTTAGCTGAGCAGCATAAGCACCTGCCTGGAATGTGCCACATCATGAGTTCGATCCCCGGTACAAAAAAAAAGGAAAACAGATACACATTGAGAACATAATATTAAGTGAAATAAATAAGTCATCACACAAGCTTAACTATCCATAGTTTCCCTCATTGAGTAATGAGAAGTACACATAAAGAGTAAAATAAAAGATTGATGAATTAGGGATATAGATTTTTTGCATAATGAGAAAGGGTCCAAGAAACTGAGGTTGAGGGGTCTAACTGGATTCAAGATGCATGATGCACCAAATACCCACAGTGAATTTAATCATTACGTGGTGCAAACATGAACTAAGAAAAAAATAATAATAATGAAAATCAGGAAAGGGAATCCAGAGGTAGAGGGAGGGAGTTCGGTGGGAAAGGGAAGGGAAAGAATAAAAAGAATCAAGATATATGAGGTACATAAAGAAAAAAGATAGGTACATGAAACTACTCCTAAGGTGAATGTAAACTTCATGTACTGCAGGCATGTACTCATAACACTTTTAAAAAGGTGTCTAATGGGGGCTGAGGATTTAGCTCAGCGGCATAAGCACCTGCCTTGCAAGCAAGTAGTTGTGAATTCGATCCCCGGTACCGATAAAAAGGAAAAAAGACCAAAAAAAAAAAAAAAAACAAAGATGTCTAATGTGGCAAAAGATTATTATTATGTTGATAAGTGTTTAATGATTTAATAAGTAGATGAAAAGCTGATAACGTTCATCCTAATTGCTATAGTATAGACAGATCCTGTACAAATGAGACCAGAAATAAGTTGTTCATTGTTATTCCACAGTGATAATTAAAATACTGATGAGTTTATAAGGCGTTCCTCTTTATTTTCTTGTTCAATTCTTTGTTCTGTTCCCTAAACAGAGCATTATGACACACAGGCAAATTTAGTTTTCTAAGTAGCCAGCTAGGCCTTTATCAGGTTTCTTTTCCATTTTTGTTTGAAGTCATGATCAGTGTGGAGAAGAGCAGCAACTCTGCCCTGATTACTTTTCTCCATTTAGTTGGCTCTCCGTGTCTGATTATCCCCTGAGTAAAACATGTAGAGCATAGCATCCACATTAAAAACAAGCTGCTGGGGAGTCTGTGTTTGGCTCTTTATGTAGGCCTTCCAGCTTTGTGAACTGAGCTGGTGAGTAACCTTGAGAACAGATTTTCCCCTAGGCTAGAAGGACACCTGAGGAGTGGAAAACTGGAGGGCGAGGGGAAAGAGGCCATGTTGGATACATCGAGTGTGTTAGCGTTAAAAAAACCATACAGGAAATCTTTGTCCTCCTTTCTGAAAGGGAGCAGAAACCCAGGAACCTAGGACCAGCAGTGGCCCTGTGGCAGGCAGACAGAGGCCTGGTTATAAGGATAACTATCTTTGGCCAACAACTGTGACACCTGAGACACACAGTCACACTTCTTAGACTTGCATTTCTTAGAAGCCTGACAGTGAAGTAATTTTTTTCCGTGTTGTAAATGTAAATCTCATCATTAAGCAATGATGCCATGATACCAGTACAATGATAATCACATTCTGTATCATTTAGTTTTACAGATTTAATTGTAAAAGTTTTAATCAATTCTGTAATGGAGTTAAGGGACTCACTTAGTCTGTCCTATGTTCTTACAATATCAGAACAATATTGGGTAGTTTATAAAAAACAGAAATTGCCCCAGCATGTAACATACACTTGTAATCCCAGCCATTTAATCAGCTGAGGCAGGAAGCTCATTTGAGTCTAGGAGTTGAGGGCAAAATACAGCGGCTTTGTCTTAAAAACAAACAAAAACTGCAGAACTTGTTCTGGAGGCTGAGGAATCCAAGATCATCTGCCAGCATCTGCTGAGGGCTGTCTTGTGCTTCTGAGATGGTGCCTCCCTTGCTTCTGCTTCATGGATGAGGAACACTGTGCTGTCACATGATAGAGGACAGAAGGGCATGAGGGACAGACTCCACCAAGTCCCCTTGTAAGGACACCTAACCCTAAGGGATGAATGCAGAGCCCACAGGACTCAGTTTTCTCCCAAAAGCCACACTTCTCATCTGTTCCACTGAAGTATTTATCAGTGAATTTTTGAAAGTACAAACATATTCCAATCATCATGTGGCCTCATGTCTGTTTGTTTTCTAAATTTGTTTCTGGGTAGGGGTTTAGGACTATGTAATTTTAATGCTGTAGTACGTTAATTCCAACATCATCTTTTGAAGAAGTGATACTCTGAAAACTGCAGAGCTAGAGTATCTTAAAGTTTCCATCTACTACTAGCTTAGCCAAATGGAAATAACCAAAACAATTTTTAAAAAGATGATTTGAATTGGTTTTCCTTATGTTATTCCTCTGTAGACCCAGTAGAGCTGGTATGTTGCTTGATTTTATTTTTGTATTATTTGAACTCCAAAATTTAGAAACAAAAAAGTAGCATAGTCTATGAAGTTACTGATATTTCAGGTTACTCATACCTGTAGAATGTTAGACTACATAATAAAAATTTTACTGGTAGGGAAAAAAGACCCTTTTTAATGCAAATCTCTGATGGAGCTTAATAAAAGGAGAAACTATTTTCAATTAGAAAGTAGTTCCTCAAATTGATTGTAAAGGGGCTGGGGATTTAGCTCAGCGGCATGAGCACCTGCCTTGCAAGCAGGCAGTCGTGAGTTCAATCTCCGGTACCGATAAAAAGGAAAAAGACAAAAAAAAAAAAAATTGTAAAAATTGTAAAACTCTTATGGATACCACAGTCCCTTGTGTAAAATGGTACAGTATTTGCATATAATCTATGCATAGCCTAGGTGTAAGCCTATATTACTTATAATGCCTAATACTATGTAAATGTTGTATAAATAGTTAAACTGTATTGTTTAGGGAATGACCACAAAAAAACCCCACATGTTCAGTCCAGATATAATTTTCTTTTCCATCTGGTGTTGACTCGACTGCAAAACCTGTGAGTATGAAGGACCAGTTGTATTTGAATTGTTTTGCTTTATGTTATACGTATTTTTTCCTTGATGATACTGAAGGTTTTATTTAGTGTAAAGATGATGTATTTCTCTCCAAAATAGGAATTCATCCCTTTGAATTGCTATAAAATAATCCCTTAGCAACTACATGTGTCTATATTCTTAGATTCCATTATATGAATTTCTTAGCCAAAAAACCCTATTCAGAAGTATGGTTTCCTTCCTGTCCCATGTGCTTAGCAACTAATTAGGTCTTTATTTTTTTAAATGTAGGTAAACTTATAGCCATTATGTGCTTGAAATAACTTAATAAACAATACTATCCATTTTTCAAATATTTCAATATTAGTCTAGTTTATCTATCTTCAGAGTTTGTCTTTAAAAAAGCACAGAAAGCTTCAGAACTTCCTTTCAATGATGTGGTTTGACATAATTTCCTATTTTTCCCGTGACCTTGACTATAGAACTGGGTCTAGGTAGAGTAAAAGTAGAACTGAAAAAGAAACCAACAATGGATGGGAATGGGAGTTATGATCACAACAGAGCTTATAAGCAAACTTTAGATAAATCCTGTTGTGAGAATATAGGTCTGGTTAGCTAAGTTGTTGCAAGAACTCATTGCTTTCATTTCTACATAGCTCTGAAATGTTTAGTTTACATTTCTTCCACAGAGAAACCCAAAGTATAGGAGATCTTGGGACTACTTATTATTTACATGTAGATAATTACTGAAGAAGCCTTCAGAAACCTTGGGGATTTTTTTTCAGAGGAACTTCATACTGCTAATTGGTAATTATGTTTCTCATAGACTTGAATATTCTGCCTTTATTAATTTATTTTTCTTCATGTTCATTCTTTGGGTGGTGCTCAAGCATGACAGGGCCGTTATTTTAAATATGCTCATTTTCTATCAGATTGGATGCAAAGATTCATGCTTCAATGGTGTGAATAAAGAGACTTGGTTACTATGCAGCATCTAAGAATAAACTGAAGTATCTTAAAAATGATCTGAAATATTTAACAGCACTGTTCTATGTGCTTGAACACAACAGAGCTCTGAACAAAGGACTTGTCTTTGCATTTAACTAGTGTAGCGATTTTCTAACTGTGTTCACTAAGTCTTGACCATAATTTCTGAAGTGCCTCCTTTTCATAGTCAGACATTTTACTTCCCCTGGAAAATCAAGAAAATAGCTCTTTGAACTAGGCTGTAATTTGGGGAATGGAACTGTCCTGGTTAAAGAGATTTTTTTTCAATGAATGAAAAAAATACTTGCAGAAAAATCAAGTGAGTCATTTGTTTACTTATTAATTTATTATTAAGTATGCAATGTAGTAATTGATTATTTTTGGCATTCTATCTAGGGCGATACAGAGAAAGTGAGACAGAAGACAACGATTAGAGAGGCCTTTAATGTAGGCACAGCAGAGGCTGCAGAAAGGCGGGTGTCGGGGTGCTCTCAGTGGGAACGAAGAAGTGGAACTACTATTATCAGTTTTGGTTGAGAGAAGAGTTTGGGACTTGGGAAGAATGACATATTAGAAGCTGATTTGAAGGAGCATCTGCCTGTGCAAAAGAGCAGACAGATTTATTAGAGGGTGAGGGTAGAGGCTTGAGTGGTTGTGGAGTCTTGCGATTGGAGAAGGCTTGCACTTGCCAAAAGGGAGTGGGAGGTTTATCTCTGGAGTGAGAAGAAGAATATAGAAGTTACTCTTGAGAGATAAGTTTTTCTCTGGGTCCAGTACCAAGTAGAGCAAATGTCATGTTACAGATAGCTAAGCCCCAGGCCAGCAGAATCTGTGGGTAATATTGAATAGTGTTGGATGGCCACCTTTGATGGTCATTCCTTGTAGCCTCCTGGGTCTTCAAGAGGCTTTAGGCACCTTAAAGTCAGGTTGTACCGACAGAATCAGTAAATGCCTTGTCTGTCACTTTTCAGATTTTGTAGCTAAAACTGATGATGGGATGGGAAGATTTATACAGGTGAGGTACTCCATGGATTTTGAAAAGGAGTCTAGAATTGGCAAAGGTTAAGATACTCAAAATAACTAAATATTTAGATGTTTTACAATTTTAGGCTTTAACTACTTTCCTTGGTTGGTCAGCAGTTCTGTTTACCATGTTGATTCACTCATAAACAGAATTTGAAATGGGCCACATAGTACTTTCAGTATTTTTGACTCCATACCACAGCCACAGATAGCTAGTGATTTTTTTGAAGGGAGAGTACAGAGTAAATCTGTAAAGATTGTGTCATTGCAGGAAAGAATAAAATTATGTACGTTGAAAGCAGATTCCATCATAGGATTTAGGGTGGCAAGTTAGAGCACTTCCTTTTTCTTGGAAAAGTAACATCAAGTACTCACTTTTGGCTGTTGGCCCATCATAAGACAGGGTGGCAAGTTAAAAATGCTGATTTTTTTTGAAAAGTAACACCAATCAAGTGTTTTACTACTACGCTTATTCTTGGATATTGTTCTCTAAGAATATAGTGACTTTGTCTTTAAACTATCTAAAATACATTATAGAATATACTATCTAATATTGTATATATTTATTAAGTCATCTTGAGATTTAAGAAATACTTTGATCTCATCAATATCGTGTTCAGAAATCACCTTAGAAGATAATACTTGTAAGTGCATCTGTTGGAGAGATTGCGTCCTACTTTGTATTCTTAGTTCCTTAAATAGGACTGAGTGTTGTGCTGAGACACTTTGCCAAAAATGTCACTTGAAGGTAAAGCAATTTAAAATAAAGAATAGTGTATTGAACCTTCTTTCTAATACTGTTTTATATTTTCATAGCTTTACAGCAAGTTCATGTGTTTCCATTTGGCTATACTTTCTCCATATTTTCCTCCATTAACCTGTTGGTAAATAACTTTTATACATGGAATACTTTACTAGGGTCTGGTAAAACAGTGTGTGTATCTCAAGAGAATTTGCAGAAAATGTGCTTCTACTGAGAAAAAAAAATGAACAATAAAATTAAACTGATATATGGAATGTGTTAAATGGGCCACAACAATATCATGGGCTAGGATAAATAAAGGCTGAGTGTTTCTATGGAGGAAATCATTTTTAGGTGGAAACTTAGGAATTCAGTTTTTAAAGATGATTGGGAGTTTTGCAGGTCAGTGGGGGAGGAAAGGATTTTCTAGGAAAAATGAAATGATACAAAATACAATGGTAAATCTGTGGGACCTGGTTAATTGAACCCCATGTACATTGCATAAAAATGTCATGAGAAAAAGAGAGGCAAGATTTAAATACCAGCAAAATCAAAGATAGCTTTAGACTTGCTCGCTGGAAACCTTAAAATTGTAATATCCTATTTGGATTATAAGGATATCCAGGAGTACATTTTGAATTGGAGATAAAAATGTGATAAAAGTTACACTTTTTAGGAAAGCTATGGGCAGAAGAGTGAAAGATCTCCCAATAGGTCAGTAATAAAAAGGGAAATAGAAAAAATAAACAAAATGTTTGAACAGATACTTTTACCTAAAAATTATATGCAGGTGACCCATGAACGTATAAAAATGGGTGTTATCTTCACTGTGTATCATAGAAATATAAAATAGGACCATAATGTTACCTTACAGTAGAATGAAATAGAAAACACAATGAGAAGTGATAAGGTTGTAAAGGAACAGTGACATTCACTGTGGGGATGCACACTGGTCTGACTATTCTGGAAAACTTTTTACCCAGATCTTCTATGACTGAGGGTGTTTGGTCATTTGGCTCTGCGCATGTATAAGTGAGAGAAAAAACGAATAAGAATTTTCACACTGACCAGTTTGAAAATACCATTGGTTTTAAAAAAACCAACTTGCAGAATTCTTCACTATTTAACCATTTGTGCATGCCAGACTGCAGCATACCTAATCAGCTGTTCGAGTGCTAGATATATATGAACCAAAATGCATCCATATTGCCCAAAAGACACATGCCAAAAGTATTATAGAAACTCTATTTGTAAGGCCAAAAATTGAAAATAACCTGAATGTTGTTAGCATTAGAATAGATTGTTGTGTATTACTGTAAATGAATACGGGAATGAGAAATAGTGGACTATTCAGACTCTTTTTTCACATGTGATCACAATAATGCATGTTAAAACAAACTAACGAAAAAAAAAAAAACATAGCCGGGCTTGGTGACACACTCCTGTATCCCAGCACTTGGGAGGCTGAGGCAGAAAAAGCATTTGCAAGTTTGAGACCATCCTGGACCACAAAGTGAGCCCAAGGCTAGCCTGAACTGCATAGTGAGACCTTGTCTCAAAAAGACTAAAACAAAAAACAGCACACACAAAAAAAAACCCTAGAGGTGAAACCAGACATAAAAGAATATATTATTAAATTGGTGTACATTTCTAAAGCAGGCAAACTAGTCTTGAGTGTTAGAATTCAAGGTAGTCATTTCCCCTGACATGTTGCAACCAAAAGGTGGCTTGAGAGATCTCTGGAAATTCAGATTATACTCTGTCTCTTGATTTGGAGGTAACTTACTAAAATGTTTTCTTCTTGTCAGAATTCATTGAACATAAAATGCAAATCTGTTACATTTTATATGCTTTGTGAATGTAACTTTCATCTCAACAAAAATATTCACATAGGGCAAAAAAAACTAATGGGCAGAAATAAGGTTATTCAGCTTGTGAACATAAAGAAAGGAGAGTAACAGAACTTTGAAGAAGATGAAATCCAAACACATTCTTATCTTTTTCCCCATTTTTCTAAGACTCTTTCCAGCTTTTTGCATGTGAGTATTGCAGAAGGCAAGGACAATGCTGAGCATCAAATCTGATTGTGAGATTGTTCTTGTGGCATTCTGCCTAAAAACTGTCACCAGGGGACATCTGGGCTAACTGGGCTAAATTACAGTGAGTCTTTGAAAAAGCAAAGGTTGCCAGGTAGAGGAGTACTGTCATGAGAAAGAGTGTCGGGTTGTGAGGCAGCCTGCCTACTTTGTGCAGTGCTGTGAGGGCTGGGGCAGCAGCACATGCTCTAGCAGCCTTCCTGGCTGTTCATTCCCGGTATGTGCACCATCGTTTTTTCATTCTCTCTCAGTGATGTCCTGAAATGATATACTTTGTGAATTATTTGGTTTAAGAGAGTGTGCAAGACAAGCAACTCCTCATTGATTGTATTCTGAAAGGATAGTTTTGTTTCATTTTCATTTTCTTTTTTGTCCACGCTCTTCCCATACTCTTGGGCTCACATGGCTTTCTTTCCTCGGCATCTGGAGTAGCTGGGACTGTGGATAAAGGCCATGATTCTCTGTGCCTAGTAACACAGGTCTACTACCCTGAACAACTGTGTGCTTCTCTTTTCCAGAAATGGCAAACAGTCTTTTAAAAACATCTCCGTCTTCAAGGACAAAAGTACTCCATCAAGTAGGCTTATCTCTGTATAATACCTTTCATGGCTTCCATGAGGAGGAGGTGAAGAAAACACTCCAGCAGTTTCCTGGTGGGTCGGTCGATCTTCAGAAAGATGACAGTGGCATTGGCATCCTTACTCTGAACAACCCCAGTAAGATGAACGCCTTCTCAGGTAGGCGAGATCTTTCTTTTCCTAGATAAAGAATGACACTGAATTTTACCTGCTGTCTCGTGGATTTAGTCCTTGCCCTGGTGACGGAATCCTGCCCAGTCTTGGCAGTGCTCACAGAATTCACACCAAACAGTACTCTGTAATGTGAACCGGAAACACTTTTACTAGTTAGTACTATTTTAATGCTTTTAAAAATTCATGAATTTGGATGTTGATAAAAAGGATGCACTTAAATCAATCTTAACTGTGTTTGCCTTGAAATTTATTCACAGCATAAAAACTTTGTTTTCAGCTAATGCTATTTGGAAACAAAAGGAGGTTTCAGACATTTCTCTGAAACTAAAGAGAAAAACCTGTACATAAAAATTATTCAACATTTTTTCTACGAATTGACTTAAGGCTGTCATTGTTAGTTGTCCTCTTTTTGCCCCTAAAATTTCTTTTACTAAAAAGAAAGATTCTCTTTCTATTTTTTAGCTTTCTTTGTCAGTTTTAATTGGCATATGTAATCATATATTTATACTTTGATACATGTGCACCATGAATACTGATCACATCATGAGATGTTAATATTTCTTTGTCTTGAAAGGCTTCAAACGTGTCTCTTCCATGTACTTTTCAAGATATAATGATTATAACCTATAGTCAAATATAGTGCTGTAGAAACTAGAACTCATTCCTGGGATAGGAACATGGCGCTTAGTATTTGTTGACTCGTTCCCAATAGCAAATACCTTGGATTTGCTAGTCAAGTCTCTTAGCATGGAAAGAATTTTATCCTTAAAGAACCTGAAGAGCCAGGGTCTATCGTCATTTGTCACTTTTGCTGAGGCTCAAATTTGAATCATGCTACCGTTTTACACAAGAGTTATGAGTAGCTTTCCAACCCTCATCCTTCATACCTGAAGCAATGCTGATAATTTCTACTTGCCTGTTACATGCTTCATGGCAAGGGTACATTATTTTCTTTGGTAACATTTGAAATGCTGGACTCAGATATTGCAGTAAATTTTAGGTGTCTAACTTAAGTGTACTGGTACCTACAGACATAATTCATTAAACTGTTAACTTCGTAAATTGCCAGAAGTATTTATATCAAAGACAATTTTTCTTCTTAATCAGATTTCAGAGATATTTCTCTATATGAGTGCTGAGCAATAAAATTATAATGTGAGACACAAATGTGATCCACACATGTAATTTTAGATATTCTAGTGGCCACCATTTAAAAAGAAGAAACAGTTAATTTTAACTGTGCATTTTAATTTAATTTAATTTAATTTAACACAGCACATCCAAAATATTACTCAAGAAGTGACTGCTGTAAACTATTATAAATGAGATTTTTTCATTTTATTTTCATACTAAGTCTTGAAACCTGTTATTCAGCTCATTGCACATCTGCATGTTAGGCACCCTTCATTTGCTCAGTAGCTGCATCTGATTAGTGACTACTTTAGTAGACAGGGTTGCTCATACCTTTGATTAGTTTAGGGAATAAACTCCAATTTTACCATTATCCCCGATAAAATAAATTTCAAAAGGTAAGAGTGGGAAGACTATCCTAGATGCTTAAATTAGATCAGTTGTAATTTACTTCTGAATAGTTACTAGTAATACTTTTTCTTTTTGGTACCAGGAGCCAAACTCAGGGCCTCTACTTGCCAGGCAGGCGCTGTGCTGCTGAGCTGTGTCCCCAGCCCAGAAATAACCTTTTATTCAAATGAAAACCAATAGTAACCCCTAAAATTAGTAAAATCAGAGTTGCTGGGCTGTGGGTAAACACACTTGGTTAGACTGAGTGGGGACAAGAGGAGTGAGCCCCAAAACTCTTATTTAAAGAATACCCCATCAGATTCTCTGTAAGATTTCCTCCAGCTGTCAAGGTTGACTGTACAAATTGAAAAAATGAGTTTAAGATTAACTACTAGTACAGACTTTCTAGTGCCCAAACCCACCTTTACTTTTTAGAAACTAAAATGTACATAATTAAAGGTCCATATTTCTTTAAATGTATGTCTTTTGGTTTCCCTGCTAAACTGAAAATCGCTTCAGAACAAGATCTATATTTCTGTCGGGCTTGGTGGCTCACGCCTGTAATCCCATTACTCCGGAGACTCATGCAGGAGAATCATTGTGAGTTCGAGACCAGCCTAGGCTACAGGGTGAGCTCGAGGCGAGCCTGAACTGCATAGAGAGACCCTGTCTTAAAAAGACAAAAAAGAAAAAGAAAAAGAAAGAAAAGACCTATATTTCTAAATTATGTAAGACATCTTTGGAGAAGTTTTAAGACATTTTGATTACAGTCATAATTAGCAGTTGGGAAGGTTAACTGGCTGTATTAGTCATTGTCTAGCCAATGACCATTTATTGTAGAACCGTATACCTACTGGTTATTTTTAAAAGGCAAAGAAAATAAAAGTTCTTGACTTTGTGGGATTTGTTTTCCAACATTTAGTTTACGTAGTTTAATTGGGCATAAGAGTAAGTTTTAGAAACTAACACTGCAAATTTCATTCCCCCCTATGCTTGTTATATTGGCTTCTGAAGCATTTCCTAACAGTGGAAAATAAACCACATTGAAAATGTTATGAACCGTGGGAACTTGGAAGAGATACTGACAGCAATTTAAAAATCATAGTCCCTACTGTTCCTGTTTTAAATTTGTCTGCTTATAAGGAAGCTTGAATAGAATTTGAGGTGATCTCAAGGTAACAATCTGATATATAAATTGTATACTTACTAGTAGTCTGATGAATCACTTCTGTAATGGCCCTTTGGGCTTGCTAGAGCCACTTGATATCTTGGAACAGGGTGTTTACTGCCCCTTTTGTGAACTGACATGCTGTCATTGTACTTCCAGTACGAACAAGCTAGGAATGTCACTTTATTCTGTGCACTCTATTGTAAGATCCCATAAGCATTATAAGATCCATAAAGTTAGTAGTTGAACAAATTCATGTTGACTGAGACATCGAGTGTATCTTACTGTAAAGTTTGATTTGTGTTTTTTCTTTACCCTAAGAAATAATTTTTCCTTATCACCATATCCCATGTGGTCCAGTCCAGTTTCCCTACCCCTAAGATATGTAAGATATGTACGGTGCATTTTTATATTTCTGTGTAAGCATAAATTTACGTGCATCTTTAAGGTAAGTAGAGAAATGCAGACACTGACAAGCTTAAACTTTTAAAGCAGGGACTGTCATAGGTTCCTCTTGTGTACCCCATTGGGCCAGCACAGCAGGCATTTTTCTGAAAAGCATTAGTAACTATTTGTAAAAGACTTGACCTGAGACTTGACTGATTATAGTGTCTGTGTGATTTCTGCTTTTCAATCTCAGACTTTTTTGAGTTTGTGATTTTGCCCTTCGTTCCCTGGTAGGTGTCATGATGCTACAACTTTTGGAAAAAGTGATTGAACTGGAAAATTGGACAGCAGGGAAAGGAGTCATTGTCCGTGGAGCCAAAAACACTTTCTCTTCAGGGTCTGACCTGAATGCCGTGAAAGCACTGGCCACTCCAGAGGTGAGGCCTTGTGGGTTACACTGCCTTAAGGTGCGCAGGCCAAGCAGGAGTCTGGACTGCAGGGTTTCTGTTCTGCCTATGTAATTATTAGCATGACTGAATCTTTGGCCTCTGAAGCAGCAGGGCTGTGGTCCTTGGTGTCTGGAGGAAGTGTAAAGAGCCTTAAGGAGAGGGATGTAGGGGAACAAATGATGCTTTAGGCCTGTGCCGTAGGCCGCCTGTGAGGATCACTGCTGTGAGTGCTTGGACACAGCTCCTCCTCGGCTTAGCAGTGCTCTCTCAGCTGGGTTGCTGCTTTTGCAGAATGGGATTCATTCTCTTTCTCTCTCTCTCTCTCTCTCTCTCTCTCTCTCTCTCTCTCTCTCTCTCTGTCTTTCTCTTTCTGTCTGCCTCTATCTCTCCCTCTCTGTCTCTGTCTCATGCTGTGAGTGTTGATCCTGTTAGTTCTCCTCAGCTCCCACTGTCTCTTCTCTGTGTCTGTTAAATTTTTTAAAATGAATTTTTAAATTTTCGAGTAGTGTTGGTTGGATTTACAAGAAAACTACACCCATAGCAGAGAGCTCCATATACCTACCCCACACCCAGTGCCGTGTATCACTGTGCTGCCTTAGGTCTGTCACAGGTGATGAACTGGCAATGATGCTTTACTGTGGCTAAGAGAAGGATTTACCTCACAGCTAGATGAGGAGGAAGAGGGAGACACTCTCCCGTGCACATGGCGTTAGGAAGTGTGTGCCATTCTGGATAATTAGATGTCTAGTTTCATATTCTGAATAGAGACAGTGTAGAATTGTGAACACTTAGGAAATTCATATTTATTAAACATACTTAATAATTGGTCATCACTGTATGTTAATATTCATGATCGTATCTGAGAGTGTGAAAGGACAATAAAATCAGAGCCTTACTACACTGAAATACATAGTCCTATGTACAGAGGATACATTTATCTCAAGGTGACTTTTAAATTAGCACGAAGCAGAAAGGGTACGGTGCATGCATGCAGAGCCTACAAGCCAGGCTTCATGCAGACTACAGTTGGCCATAACTGGGTGAGAATCGTGGATGGCCTTGGAGTCAGGGGACCCAGTCCCCCTGAGCTGTCCCTCCCCGCCACACATTCCGCGCTCCCCACTGTCGCCTCCCTGCAGATTTCCTCTCCCGTGGCTCCTCTTTACTCCACATGTGGACTCTCTAGTCACAGATGCCTCACCGGCCTCTGCTCTTGGGAGAATTTGCTTTGTTTTCAGAAGGCTGCTGTACTTGGTCTGCATGATGATTTTAGTAATTCAATTACATTCCCCTCCAGCTGTGGCAAAATGCTTGAAATTGATGATTACATGGATTTTTAAAAAAATAATTATGTCAGTGTTTTTGCCACTGTGATTTTTCAGATATTGGAAAATGCTTATTAATGATAGTTACCAAAGATCAACAAGACGGAGCCTAACACAGTGAGAGCCCTGTGTGCCAGAGCAGCATCTGCACTGCTCCACGTCCTGTGGTGGTCGCTTGGCTTTCACTGCAGGTCTGTTTCTTTGCAACTGGTCTCCTAAGCAGTTGGCTTCTTTCTGGTGTTTTTAGTCCTGATGAGCAAGAACAGAACTGACCCTGCTTCTGTGACACAATTCTTGGTTGAGAAGGCAGAGTCCAGGAGGCGACTAGCAAAACTCTCAATTCACCCTGAAAATATACAGGGAGTGGAAAAGAATGCAGTGTTTAAAAGTGTGATTATAATTCAGTTATAAAATTAGGATTTCAGCTGGAAGTGGTGGTGCATGTGAGTAATCCCAGCGCTCAGGAGGCTGAGGCAAGAGGATAGTTGCAAGTTCAGGACCAGTCTTAAAGAAAGAAAGAAAGAAAAAAAAAAAAAGAAAGAAAGAAGAAAGAAAAAATTGGATATGATGCCACAGGTGTTCTGTATGCTGTAACAGTTCTCCTTTTAGAGGGAGGAAGCAGAGACCACCTACAGGATACAGGGAGATGAAAACTGCTGATTTCCAGCGAGTGGGCATGAGGCCTCAGGAACAGTCTGGCGGGTTAGACACCTTCAAGAGTCTTACTCTAGCTTCAGGACAATACCCTCCTTTGTCCCTTGACCTCCTATCTCCTCCATTCCCCTCTTGGGGGCACATTTATATCTTTCTCTTTTTTTCTCCCATTTTTTGAGACAAGGTTTTGCTGTGTAGTTCAGGCTGGCCCTGAACTCACTATGTAGCCCTGGCTGGCCTGGAACTTGAAGTGATCCTCCCATCTTAGCCTCCTGAGTGCTGGGATTACAGGCATGCACCACCACACCTGGCCTATAATTGTATCTTTCTAATTTAGATTTAAATCAGCAGTCATTCCTCACTCTATGAATTCAGAGCCAGTGCTACTTACATGTTCTCCTTCATGCTGCTAGTAAGCGATAACACTGCCATTTGCACTCAGCCTCTTTCTGGCCAGCTGGCTTTGCTGAGCTGAGTTGGAGGTGCTGGCAGGGTGTGAAAATTGAGGAAGGTTTTAGTGCTTCACAGGAAAGGCACAGTCAAAGGGGAACAGTGGGTGACACTTGCAAGGAAGTGCCTCTTCCAGCGCAGCTCTGGAAATTCTTGGGGCGAAGTGGTGGAGAATGAAGGGAAGAGTCAGGGAGCAGAAAGCTGAAGTCAGGTGGTGCCCTCTGTCCAGATTGGAGCAAAGAAACTGCTCAAAGACCACAGCGCATTTATTTATACTTTGGCAGTTGGATGTCATGTGGTACCACCTGCCTACCAGCCTGTGTGCTTGGTGTGCCTTGGGTGCCTGGTGTTCTCTGGACTGGAGCAGCTTGTTCATGGAGTTTACCTTGGCACACTGTGTGGATGACCGATCTCCAGCTTCATCCGCTCACTACAGGGAAGGAGCTGTGCTTGGGACAACGAGAAGCATGGATTCGCTTGTTAACAGTAAATGCATTAGGGGATTCACTAAATAAGAGAAACCAAGGAGGAAACCTAGAAAGGAAAACTCAGTAAGAGAATCAAGGGTTTAAAATCTCATTACAAACTAAGCTAGAGGAACAGAATGAAGAAACTGTCAAAGGCACTGCCTGTTAGAGCGAGCAAGAACAAGATGGGGAAAATAGAGAAATGGTTTAATTTGCAAGCTTAATATTAGAAATATTCGAGGGAAATCGATTTAATATGCAATCTTAATATTAGAAATGTTCAAGGGAAATCTTTTGGAAGAAGGCTGAAGGCCAAATTACACGCGTTTCAGAAAACCTGAGTTGAAAAGAGTAGGCAGTGTGTTCGGGTTCCTTTTAAGAAGAAATGCGTTCATTTGTAGAGATGCGTAGATGCATAGGAAGTACAGAAATTCAAAGCTTGTTACAACACACCTTCTCTCCTCCTGCCTTCCTTCCTTCTTTCGTGTGTCTGTCTGTGTGGCAGTAACTCAGCACCCTTCTCCCCACTATTTCTCCAGTGCAGCTCCACTCTATCCTCACCCTGCAATCGACTGTCCTGCCTGCCTCTCTGCTGCACCTCATGCCTAGCTGAGCCAGGGAGCCTTTGTATATGCAAGCAGAGTCAAATGCAGTGTCCTTTGTGTTTCACACAGCATCAGACACTTGTAAATGAACTTGTAAAACTAGATACATGTTTTTGTCTTCATTACTTTCTGAAATCTCAACTTAAAAATGTTATTTTGTACAAGTGCATTATATCTTTGTATTTATGCCTATTTTTATTTAAAGGATGGAATGGCTTTATGTATGTTCATGCAGAACACCTTAACAAGATTTACAAGGTAATGTATCTTTTTAAAAGATGTATGATTTCTAAAAGACCAAAAGTAGTTCTGTATCACTTTATTATTTACACTAACTAGAAAATGACAGTTGATTTTTAAGTTACATACATATATTCCAATGCTGCACTATTTTTTTTTGCTATAGAGAACAGTCATTTAATTGAATTTTAGCAAAGGATACACAAGTATTTCATTCACAATAGAAAGGAGGGAGGAAAAGAATTTCCTCAAGGAGTTCCTGGGACTGTCTTCAGGGGCAATCACCAGGCAGTCACACTTCGATGTCACACATTAGAGCAGAATAAGGACACCAGCCAGGAAGTTCGGGACAGAGTGACTTGGTAGTGAGAATTCCAGGACCATGTGTTGTAGTGGACTGTGTCCAGAGGCGGTGGGAAACCAGCAATGGATTGAAGAGTCTCTTACGGCTTTCTAAGAAAGGTGGATTTATTTTGCATTGAGATAAGAAAAAAATGAGAAAATTTTTTCTTTACAATTCCAAGATTTCAAACTGCTGCAGGTTTTGGTTAGTTTCTAATTTCTTATTCTGCATGTAGACACTCTACAATTATAAGAACTAAAGAAATTTAGATGACTGTATTTTGGGACTTATACCTGTTAGTCTAGAAAGAGCAGTAGAATCATAACATTTCAGTGTAAAATACTATTTTGTTATTCTAGTACATGTTCATTTGCGTCCTCTATTAAGACTTAACTTCTTAGGTAAATCTGAGTAGCTGTTCTATTTTTTGTTTGCTTGTTTATTTGATTTTGTGTGTCACTAGAGACTGAATCTGGAGATGCTATACCACTGAGCTACATCTCCAGCCCCTTTATTTTTAAGTGCACACCTGGAATCTTGGCTCTTCAGGGGCTGAGGCAAGAGGTTCCCACGTTATTTTTTAGATTGTCCCTTCTATATGCAGCCAGTGTGTATTAAATATTCATCTGTATTAGACTTGCAACTTTATATTTGGATTAGAAGAAGCGTCCTTTTAAAACACTGTATATTTACCCTTTAGTATTTGCATATGCTCACAAATTGGGTCTTTCCAAATAAAATGAAGAAATTTATTTTTAAAATAATGCCTGAACATAGGATTGCTCTATTCATAGGACCCTTCAATTCATAGCTTTGGGGTTCTGCCATTAGGACCACATCTTCCTTTGGGTCTATCCTTAATTTTCCTACCCTTAGCCAAAGATGAATAAAAACAGATGAAGACAATATTACATTCAGTTCTTCTGGATTGTTACTTGCTAACAGGCTCCAGGATTTATGTTATTTAAAAGCATGTGTCTTGGGAATGAAGTTTGAATATGCGTTCAGTGTAAACATTGCTGGGTCTAGTGCTGGTGACACCTGTACCCCAAGCAGTATGTGAGGCAGAGGCAGTATTGCACCTTCAGGCCCAGCCTAGCAACTTCGCAATGTGCCAAGACTCTGTCTCATAATAAAACACAGCAGGAAATGCGGAGGCGTAGCTCACGAGGAAGGCCTTGGGGTCTATTCTCAGTACCAAGAAAAAAAGCAATAAAACCTCACTCAAACTTACATGGCATTTAGTATGAATTAGTGTATTTTTAGTACTGTGCTGTTTTTCAGCTTAGGGTTTTTTACAGCTTCAGGCTCCACTATGGTTTGATACATGTTACTTACGAACACCGTATAATAGTTGTATTTGCACTGTAATTCAAGACTTTCAAAATTACATTTGTAAATCAGTATTGAAGCCAAAACTGTTAACAGCCCTTTCCTCCCACACGCAGGCTTCCTTTAATAAGCGTGGCCCTGGTGCAGGGCCGAGCCCTGGGTGGAGGCGCAGAGTTAACCACAGCCTGTGACTTCAGGTAGGATTAGAGTCCTTGTGTCTCCCGTGAATAAATTGCTATCTGCTCAGATTTCTTTTTGTGCCAGGATGTCGCTGTTTTATATATTCCTAAACAGAATAAATAATGAGTGAGTGTTTTCTTTTGGTCAGTTGTTAAAATAGATCATTTGTGGCTAGGGTAAAAACTGTGGCTCTCACCATCCACTGAAGAAAAAGTTGAGAGCACAGTGATCTTGAGTAACTCAAGTCCACATGAGCAGAGCCCTTGGGGAGGAAAATTAAGGAAATGTATGGAACTTGAAAATACAGAAGGATTATACCAAAGGTGCATATTGGGGGAAAAAGAGAATGGAGAAAAAGAGGCTGCTGTACTGCCCTTTGGCCAAGAGAAGAGCCTTCCTGAGTTTGTTTCACATCTCCCTGTGTGAGTCATAGCTACTTTCTTAAGCTTTAGGGCAGATTTAGGACATAAAGTTAGATGGGTGGGTTGCACACCACTGAGGTCCCTACGCTGGGGAGCCTGAGGCAGGAGGATTGCCGTCAGTTAGTCAGAGGACAGGCTGAGCTGCAAAGGGAATTACAGGATGAAAGACAACACACAAGCAAATCCAGTGAGAGAAGTTCTTTGGGACCAGCAGCTCTTTGGTCTCTAAAATTACTTTCCCTATTTAAAGCTGAGCTACATAGGAATGAAAGCATCTAAAATCTAAAGGTATTCCTGTTCTTGAGACTTCTTTGGCATTAGCATTTTAGAGAACTCCAGTGCCCCACCTCACAACCTTCAGCCTTTGGGAGGCAGAAGGGGTGAGGCCCCAGGATGGGAGGAAGAACACTAGAACCCTGCTAAGCTGGAGCAGCTGCACAGGACACAGGCAAACTCTAGCACTGTTGGTCATGTTCTGCCCTGAGCAGTAACTGTTTTATCTCCTTGCTGTTTCCCCTATTAATAGATAAGTTTCAGTGATACTGTGGATACATACACAGTGAATTGGCATAGTGCTTAACTTGAAATACACACAGCAGTATGGACTTGCTAATATTACTTTCTGTCTTAAAATGAGTTTACACTATGCTGTTGTACAGAAACGCCATGACAGCAGCATTCTGCTGTACTTCGTTCACTGTTTTCTTTTCATTCACAATCTTTTTTAAATTTTTATTTCGTTAGTATGTGTTTGCAGTACACATTAAAAGGCATCATCCTTTAATATAATTAGAGAAAAGATTCTGTAAAAGCCATAGATTCTCTTTTCATAATTTATGAATCAAGCTTCATTTTATCAGTTAAAATATGTCCTTTTGTACCCTCAGAGATTTGAGCATAGTTCTGGTGCATAAGACAGTCTCCCAAGTTCCTGGCCTCTTTTAAAGTAGTAATTCCTGGTTGAGCAGATAGATGCAGGAGGAGGAGTAAGGTGGGCGCTTTGTATGGCAGCGCCCTCTGCTGTCTGCAGGCTGGATTCCAGCAGGATGCAGCTGTCTCCTGTTTGTGAGGCTAGGTAGGAAATGCTGTGTGTGAAAGAGTGAAATACTTTACTGTCTTTACTCTGAAATGCAGTATGTGATAAAGATTTTGAAAGAATACAAAAGTGTGCATTATTACACCTTTAAAATCCTCTACATACAAGTAAGGGCAAATTAAGATTTTATGGGTGCCTTTTGGAGAAAGAGATAACCCTTCAACATAGTCTGGGGTCCACCTTCACGTGTTCATTAGGCTTCTGTGCCATCTTTCATGTCCACCCCTGGGATTTCTCCTGTAGTGGCAGAGCTTTCTAGCCCAACTTACCTGCAGCATTCAATAGGGAAGAAAACTGGGCAGTAAGAGGCCTCAGAAAAATTATGTCTCCTAGGCTGATCTCACAGGCATAGAAGTGGAGGAGGTTTGAGGCAAAGAACTAGAAAACCAAATGGGAAAAATGCTTAAAGATCCTCTCAGACTAAGAGCCAATAGTTATGTGCTGTGTTCAGAGATTACTTGTTTTTTAATTCTTTCATGTCATTTTATTTGAAATAATTTCGTTCATTTAGATTTTGCATTTATGCTTTCTATCCATATTAATTTAATTTTGTTTTTAATATGTAGAATGTTGTAATAAATAATTTTGTGTGTATTTTTGCTATGACTAATGGTATTTCACATGAATAAATTCTAGAAGTGAAGATTACCAAATTAAAGATAACAAATATTTGTGGCTGCCAACTTTTCCTTCATAGGAAGTGGGTAACAGACCTGTCTTTCATTCCCTCTGTCCTGTTTCACGTAGACTTGTCAACACAGCTTACTCTTATACTTGTCAGTTTTTGCCTGTCTGATGGGTGAAGAATAGTATTTTAGCACAGTTTCAGTGAGCATTTCCCTAGAGTAAAATAGTTGTTTTCCTGTGTCTAAGGATCACTTTATCAATCCTTTTATGAACTACCTATTCATATTTTGCTTATTTCTCAATAGAATACTTGACCTTTTATACTCATTTTTAAAAGTTTTTTCATATATTGTGGACATTTGTTATTATCTGTGATATACTTTGTAAATATTTGCCTAATTTGCTACATGTCTTTTTGAGTCTATTTGTATGATGTTGTTTTCTCAAAGCAAGCTATTTTAGAGAATATACTGTCAGTCTTTTTTATTATTTTTTATTATTGACTTTGAATTTTGAGTGGCAAAAAGGCTTGCCCTACCTGTAAGTTAGAAAGATTTCATGGTTTGATTGGTTTTTAGTAAATAGTTTGTGTTTTACTATGCCTGTCTAAACCATTTGAGCTTATTTTTATTATGTAACAACTAATGGATCACATCTCTTTTTCTAGGTAGCCATTTTCCAAATTTTTGTTTATGTTCTAAGGATATAAATTAGTACCTCTTACATATTAGCATGATTTTGACTTGTAGTTAGATTTGTCAATAGGTTCTCTAATCTGTTCCATCATTCCCAGTTTTTCTGTATCATTAATGCTGTGATAACTACTTGTGTCTAAGACCTTATCCACTCAGGGTTATTTCCTGAAAATAAATCCTGTAAGTAGCTATTAAAAAAAAACTTAGTATACTATAGCTTTCTGAATATCCAGCATACTAAATAATCCTTACAGAATTCTACTTAGTTTGGGAGTATTCCTACCAAATTTAAAGTCTGATAAATCACATGCAAGTATGAACACTTACAGTAGTCCTTCAGTATCTGCAAGGGGCTCGTTCTAGGACCTCTTCTGGATGACAAAATCTGTAATTGTTCCAAGACCCTTATTGGATATGGCATAGTATTTACACACATCTTCCTCTATATTTTGAATCAGCTCTAAATTATGTATTATACTAATACAACATAAATGCTATGTAGTTGTTATACTGTACTGTTTAGAGAATAAAGAGGAGCTAAAAATATAAAGAACCTTTGAAACACATTGTCAAACTCACCTCTGGGAAAGATTATACCAGTTTATCCTACCAGCAGAAGATAAGTATCTGAGAACATCCTTTCTTAAAATGAACACAGTCTTTCAAAAAATATTTTCTAATTTTGATAATAAATGCTTATTTCAATTTAATTTACATTTTTAGGTTTTAAAGCATATAGATGTTCATTGATCTGTTTTTGTTTGCGTGTAAGTTGTCTGCATTTCCCTCTTCCATTTGTTTTCTTTGGGAGTGTTGGGCTGTCTTTGGGATAGATGAAATACACATTTTAATTCCACCATGTCCCTATGAAATAAAATTCTCAACCTGCAGTTCAGAGCATACCTATTTCATTTGCTTCTAATCTTCAACATGTTTTTCTTGAATATAAATAACCTTTAGCCAGATGTTAGCATTTCCAGCAACTGCTTTTCCAGGTCTGTCACAAAGAAAGGAGGCTATAAACATGCATATTCCGAGAGAACTGCTATATGTAGCCCTTTTCTTAAAATATTTGTTTCACAAATAAAATGCAAAATATACATGTAATACATACTGTAAATATATAAATAGATGTGCACATATATGCACATAGACACACACACTCAAAAGACCTAATTCCAGGTGGAAGTGCCGGGACTTTGAATATGACGCGCATACTCCAGGAAGCAGTCGCACGGCCCTCATTGTTCTGTTTTGTAGTTACCATGGCATTACTTGGAAGTTCCTGTGTATAATATCACAAAAATCTGTCTCTGCTCATGCTAGGGTTACTAATTGGATTAAAATCATGCTTGACTGTCACAAAGCATTTTCTAGCCGTTCCCCACCCTTACTACTATGACTGCACACAAATAAGCATTTTCTCTTCACCCACATCCCTTTTTACTGAAACTGTCTTGTATAAAGTGCAGGGCGCCTCAAGAGGCAGTCACCTGAGAGTTGAGAAACAGGGGTGAGATCATAAGGAAAACCCTTGGGTTCTTTCCTTGCATTTTCCATAATTTGTCTTGTGAGGTGATGGCAGGCAGGAAAAAAAGAAGGTAAAAACGAAATACATGTGCAAGCAAGCATTTATGTTCAAAATGTGATACTAAAGTGTGATTTGTGATTGGAGATGCTGCAAGTTATGTAACCTATATCAGTGGTGGCAAACCTATGGCATGTTGCTTGCTGTGGTATTGGTTTTTGGTTTGGGGTTTTTAAAAAAAATTTTGTAATTTTTATTTTAAAGAATAAAATCAAACAATAAATCAGAATGAAGCCAATCAAAACAAAACAGTGTGACACAGGATTTCAAAACAAGATAATAAATCAACAATGATCACCATAATGCCTCTTGTTGTCTTCAAAATAGCCTCCCAGAACGAGGCATTTATCTCAGTAGGCCAAGTGCTTGCCTGGTAAGCGCAAGGTTATGAGGTCCATCTGTGGTACCACCCCCCCCCCAATTCTGAAAATGTAGTCGCCCATGGCCATAAGACAATAAAATCAATCAAAACAGAACAGAATAGAAGCAATAAAGGACTTAAAAACAACAGTAAATCCAAAATGGCTCCCATTATATATCTTGTTATCTTTGAAATAGCTGCCCTAATAAAATCAAACAAGACAAAACAGAATAAAACCCAACCAAATAAAAAATGATAATGATGCAGAACTTCAAAACAAGGTAATGGGGACTTAAAAATGGCTACCACCTCCAGAAGGCATTCCCCAGTAGATGCTGCACTGTGTACCGCTATCTGAGTAGGTGATCAGACTACAATCTTTAGGCCTGCAAAGTCAGTGAAACACTAACCACTACAAGCATGAAGTTGTATTCTGCATCATTAGCTATGGTCATGTTGTACTGCAAAAATGAGACCCTAAGATGATGTCCAAAAATGGGGCAAGAAGCATTTTATTTTAGCTGATACCTAGTGACACAACCTGTATTGGAATCTGCAGAGCTGAGTAACCAGGTTAAGTTTCAGGGTGTTTTTAAGAGGAAAAACAGCAAAGAACAGAAAAGGGGAGGGAGCTTATACAAAAAGGGAGTTAATCTTTGCAAAATGTTTTACAACCAGGGCCAGTTGGTCCCGGGATGAGTGTTTTATAATTAGTGATCAGCAAATGTTTTACAATCAAGGCCCAGTTGGTTCAGGAACCAAATTGCTGTTCTGGAAGGGGATAATTCACAAGAAACAAGAGTTGAAACACAGGTCAGGGTAATGATGCTTACAGAATAGGATAGCAGTGCCTTAGCCAGGTTACAAAAGGTCACAGCCTATGTTTCTCCAGACCAGTTAGTTGGGTAAGTGGGGTGGGGAGAAGGGAATGTTGACTGTCTTTGTCTCTCAGCCTGCACCCCAAAGGGTTAGGGTTAGCATCTAGTTCTTCATGAATGGTGGCCCATGAATGGCACCAACTCACAGGAAAGGGCTCAATAAATAGTTACTGTATTGAGCAAAAGACTGAGGACTTTGAGGATCTTCATTTATGTAGGTTTATGGTATATACGTAATAATTTTTAATGAGAAAATTTGGAAATTTAGAAATACGAAGCCTAGGTTATTTGCAAAGTTAAGCATAAGCAAGCACAACAAACTTGTTTTCAAAGAGGTATTGAGTACCACATGGTACGTTAATCCTAGATGGAACAGCCACATTTTTCTGTCCTTCACTTTTTAGTGTTACGTATCAACTAAAAGGCTCAGTGGCTGTTTTCTAGATTATGGAAAGGTAATGCTTCATTATTGTACATATTTTATATGTAGTTAAGAATTGTTTCCTCTTTTCTTTTGCAGATTAATGACTCCGGAGAGTGAGATCAGATTTGTCCACAAGGAGATGGGAATAATCCCAAGCTGGGGTGGTGCCAGCCGGCTGGTTGAAATCATAGGCAGTCGAGCAGCTCTCAAAGTGTTAGGTGGGGCCCTCAAACTGGATCCCACAAAAGCTTTAAGCATAGGAATGGCTGATGAGATCTTGCAGTCTTCAGATGAAACAAAATCTGTAGAAGAGGCCCAAGCATGGCTCGCACAGTTTGTCAATGGGCCACCAGAAGTCATTAGAGCTTTGAAAAAATCTGTTTGTTCAGGCAAGGAACTATATTTAGAGGACGCATTACAGAACGAAAGAGATCTTTTAGGAACAGTATGGGGTGGAGCTGCTAATTTACAGGCTATTGCTAGAAAAGGAAAATTTAATAAATAACATCTAAAAATGTGGGTTTACTACAAGTTCCAATTAATAATATATACTGAAGTTAAATGAAAATATGAACAGCAGAATTAATCTGAAAGTACTATTAGTATTCAGATTTGTTTTGGGTTAGGGTTAGGGTTAGCTAAAGTCATTAGCCAACATTTTCTTAATATTTGGGCAACACGTTTTGTGTAAGTTATTCCTATCACTTCTTTTATGGTAATAATGGTTCTTAGCTATGAACAAAGGATGCCTGTTTTGCTTTTTGGGTTTTTTTTTTTTTTTTTTTTTTTTTTTTTTTTTTAGATATAAGTGTGCTTATCACCGTGTCTGCCACCAACAAAGATTAGTTTCTAAAAGGAAAAGGTTCTATTGACAGAAAATCAATTTTTTTGTTTCTCTTACCCATAATATTTTCACTCTGTAAGAATTTACAAAACAATCTAATAAACTTTTCAGTTAAAGAACATGGGGCAAGATCATAGGACAAGAAAAGATATGATTAGTCATTTTCTTCTGTACCAAATGAGGAAAAAAGAAAAGATGCATCCCGTTACCCCTTTCAAGTCTGGAGCCTTGATCTTTTCAATAACTAGGGAACCTCAGCTGAACGTACAGGCTGCCATTCACTGTCCTGGGAAATACCAAGCTAGAAACAGTGCTGTTGATAGTTTTAAAACAGAAAGTCTTGATTCATGAAACAAGCATTCTACAAAAAAAGTTACCACTTTACGACAGGTTTCTATTTTTCTGAAAAACCTCAACTTTTATAAGTACTTTTATAATCAATTTACTAAAAATGTGTAATTCATATTTTTATGATCATTCCAGTAATTCTGCATACAGTACATGGAATAAATATCGAAATGAACTTGGACAGCCTGTAAGTCTTATGTTGATCAAGTAGTTGATACTATAAGTTTTTCTTTCCAGTGTTCATGAGTGGCCTTACACTCTGGGTAAAAGCAGATTTACTTAAGAGTTCATAGACATGAATTCACTTTACCCATACTCCTGCAGATGAAAAAACTCACTTTTATTAAGATGTTTTTATATCTGGGTAAGGAAGGAAGTATTGGGTTAACATGGTAATCTAGAATTTGTGAAAGACAGTCTGTTCTTAAAGCAGAATGATGTTGATAAAAGCAAATCCAAGCTATTTTTACTCTGATTTTCAAATGAAATAAAATGAATGCTACAGTAGCAGTTGTTACACAGTTAAGCCAATGCCAGATGAAAAATCAAAAAGCCTAAGTCCTAGTCTTCCTTATTAATGACATTTTTAAAATCACACAAGTAAGCCTTTAATCTAAAGTTCCTTCCCTGTAAGAATTTATGAAACTCTAGAAAGAATGAGAAAAAATAGCTCACAAAAAAATTCTGCAATCATTAAAGCTCCATAAAAGCTACATTCATACAAAACCAATATGAATACAATGTCGATCAGGAAAGGCAAGGTTTGTCACACTAGTTGTACTGAAAGTACATCAAATTTGGACATCTGTCATCAATTCAGGTAAACATTTAGCATACACCAAAGTCCACATACAGTGCAGAGTACAGACACACCTAGTCTGTTAAATAAGGAAACACACATGAAAGCATACAGTCAAAATACTCCATACTCGAGAGGTGTTCAAATACTCAGTACAAGGAGAGACACATGAATGGACATGGGTTTGATAAAGTTTAGGGTGCAAGAAGTGCTGTGTAGAGAAGATTCTAGGCAGAGACAGAAGGGTTTGATTAGAAGGTAGTATGAGTAACTTAGAAACATGATTACAATAAAACATCATCAACTCCTCTAAAAATACTCCCCACTACTTCAAGCAGACATTTCTCCTTGTTCTTGCCACATTTTATGCAGTTTTGTGAGTCCTCTTTAATAAGTGCTTTTTTAATGAGATGTAACCAAAAAGTACAGCAAATGCTTCTGTTGCATTCTATCCAACAACAAAAAAGACGGCTTCACAACACATCATCTGCCTCATTCCCTGGATCTGGGGCTTTGCAGCTCCTGGCACTTCCCTAGTCAAAATGATGATGAAAGGTAAACATCTGCACCGACTCGGGACACTGAGGCAGCCACGACAACACTAAAACAACAGAGGACTTCAGAACTGCTTCAAAAAGTGGCAAGAATTACACGGTGTGTTTAAAGTGGAGTATTTAGAGGCAGGTTAATCGGTATGTGTTTTTACTGTGAACTATTCTAGCTTAAACGTTCATTGTATCACTTCATATGCAAGGAACTGAGTCACATAAGCAATGGAATCAGAAAAGGTAATCACAAAGATAATCATAAATCACACAAGCCTTATTGTGCCCGCCCTAAAGAAACATGACTTGATTTTTATTCCACAGTAATGGGAAACCACAGACACTATGAAAAGGGGAAAATGACAGGAGCAGAACAGTGGTAAACAGTATGGTAAAAATCTCAAAAGATCTGCACTCTGTTGTTTAACATGAATGACAATGTCTGTACTAATTAATTCTGCCATTTTAAACACAGAACATCTAGAATCTAATTACTGTAAGACCTTTACATTTGGTGCAAGAACAAGCCTTAAAAAGTAACTCTAGAGTTTAAAAATGAGATAGTCAATAAAAATGTTTATGCTAATCAAACTGAAAAACACTGTTCTTAGGCTTTCATCGTGGCATATCCAATCTTACAACAATCTCGCACTTTTACTATGTTTGTGTCTTTGGCTCCTCAATAAACAAAAGCTTAAAATGGTAAGGTTTTAAAGTTTTCAATTACCTGACGTCAGGCCCAGGCACCCCCTGAAGAGCCACGGCCACCAGGGAGCATTGGTGCGCCACCACCCCACACCCTGTCACAAGCCTGGGAACCTCCCATCAGGGGAACCCAGGTGTCCAGGCCAATTCCCTGCTGGACAGGCAGACAGTGCAGGGAGCGCCCAGGACTTGGCAACCAGCTGATTCGGATGAAGACAGGAAAACATCAAGACAAAGAATCAGTGTGCTATGTCAGATCCCACTCGGTCACAGACATAACATAAATTAAAATCACATGCCTAGCATTTCTGAAATGATGGCAACTGAAGTAAAGAAACAACTTAGTGCGCATACTGTTTGACTACCTACCTATGCGTGCCTGTGTCTGGTGGGCTGAGCAACTGTTTAGTGGACAGTGATGTGCAATATAGTAACTACTGCTGATTTCCTATTGTCTTGTTTTTGAAACTCCTCGCTTATTGTTTTGTTTCATTTTATTGTTTTGTTTTATTCTCTTTAAAAGAAAAGCATTTCAATTAAATGAAAAAGGACACAATGATTCAACAGAAACAGTTTAAGCAGTTTAGATCACAGAAAAAATTTAATTTCCAAATTGTTTTGCAATCCTTAATCGAAGTGCCAATCAGCATATTTAGTAGCACCTCTATGCTATAAAAATTAGCCAAGTATCTTTTCCTAAACCATGAAAAGTTCTAGATCAAGAAATACATCTTTTTAATATGAGAAAGGCACTATTGAAGCTTCAAAGTATTTTTTCTTGCCTTTACAAACCTTTTAAAGTAACATGAGGTACAAGTGAGAACATCTGCTTTTCACTAGTCAACAACTCTGGATCCTGTCCTTCTCACCCTGAAACAAAGGATTATGTGAAATTCTCAAAATGCTCTTTCAGACTGATATGTATTTAAATGATGAAGGAAAAAAAAAACAGAAATTAACTATAGGTAATAACTGAGAATAGAAAAATGGGCTGATGTTCACTACTACTTTGGAAAAAACAATAGCAGTGTCTTATGTATAAAAGTCTACATCTCAAATTAGGGACCTTATAAGCAAAAGGCAAATTAAAAATATGATCAATTTAAAATTAAAGAAATAGGAGTCAAGTAAAATGTAAAGTATCCAATATATGACTTTGAGGAATGTTATACTTTTAAATACAGAATTCTAACTACTTCCTGTTGTGCTTAAGTAAAATTAATACAAAACATCAGTTTTCCACCTGATGCAGCTATAAAAAGTTTCAACCAAAACCACTACTTTCTACGCTGCTTAATATGATCAATATTTTGTTTTAACTCTTACTCTTGCATTCATGAATAAAGCTAAGCATGTAATGTTAAAATGTAAAAAGCAACTATGACTATGTCAGGGAAGCTATATACTGTAAAAATAATACACTTGGAAAGGCAAAATGATTCTGTTTGAGCCATTATTCTGGTTCCCTCCTCACAATAAATAAGTTGGATAAATTTCATCAGAAAATAAACAAGCTACATTTTTTCATATGAAGCACTCTCAACTATCCATATGCCAGAGCAGATTACCAGTTCAGAGCCCCTAAAATCCACCAAGTATTGTGTCAGTCTATCATGCACTAAGAGATGAGAAAAAATGCTTAGTAACAGTTCTTGTAATTATACATGAAACAAGTACAGAAGGTAAGTACAGAGATTGTGTATAACACGATAAAGATAGATGTATGTTAATCCACTAACCCACATGCAAGACCTTCTTCAAAGATGTTTTTATTACCTTTTCAGTCAACCCTACACAGTCCTGAAGTCATTTTTCAATGACCTTAAAAAAGGTAGAAAGTCAAATGTATGCAGAGGGATAAGACCAATATGTAAATAACTGCATCTTCATACTGCTTTTCATAAGAGTTAAGAATTTCAAAGAATTAATGCTAATCCAAAAAGTGGTTATTACTCTAATAAAGGTTTTAAGAAACTCCAGAAATTATTCTGGAAACAAAAGGCATTTATTTTTACATTACTGACTTCAGAACAATTTAAAACAAAATTAGAAACATACTTAAGTTAATCCAACTCTGGTAAGGGACAGGATTAAATATAGCAATCACTTTAAACACTTTTACTACATTTTTCATGTGACATAACTTTGCAGCACAGTATCATATTTATTCCCATATAGCTTACACTCCCATAAGATAAATATGTGTCTGTAATACTTGGACATCTCCTTGCCCATGAGGAATATAGACACAGTTAAGGAAAACCTTCAATGATTCAGATTTTGTTGAACCTTCTTAAAAGACCTCTAGTTAATTGTAAAATTACTATAAATACAAAAAGTCTTCAACTGCGTATATAGTACTGAAAAACTTTTTAGCCAGCAGTCAAAGTTTTAAAATCTGGTTAAGAATCAAGAGTTTTATACACACTTTCCTGAATAACACACTACCCTTCCAACTGACTTCACGTCCATCTTCCTTTGACTCTTCCTCAGTTTCATCATGCATAATTTTTAGTCCTCTTTCAATCTTCAATACTCTCTGCTGCATATATAACCTAATCCAAATTCCTAAGCAACAGTTTCCAATACCATTGACACAGCCTTTATAATAAAGCAGACTCGTTTCCAATAATGGCTCTGACTTGCTCTTATCATGCTCACCTGGTCATCATGTCCCAAATGTTCCTAAAGGTAGGAATTAGCTATTCTGAATTTTCCTGGACATTTATACCCAGGAGTGTGGTTCAGATCTAAGAAGCTGTTTTAAGTCAGTCCCCCAAGGGATTCCTCTCAGAGAATTCCAGTGAATGCGGACCTGGGCAAGTGACTTATCCCTGTTTCTCCCTCAGTAAGTGAGACATTCCTGTGATATGCAGGGATGAAATTAGTGACTTGTGGAAAATGTCCAGTAACCACCTGGCAGTACAGCAGGTGCTGAATAAATGCTCGTTCACCTTATAACACAGTCAACAGTTTTCAAACACAGTTATTCCCTCACCTCATTAAAGCATGCTTTCCTAATGTCTAGTTGTTAAAATCCAATTCATTCTTTAAGGCTAAATTTTTCATTCCCTCTTTACCATTCAAACAGAACTAATTTCTACTCTCTCTCAGTTTCAGTAGCATTTTGTTACCAAAATATGGAATCTGTCCTGCCTTGTGGCTGACTATATATTTTTCTCGCATACCAGATATTATGGTTTAGCTAGATTTAGCAGAACAACAAAAACAAACACAAACGTAGCCTGCAGATGTGGCTCAGTGATACAGCACTTACCTAGCATTGTGAAGTTCTGGGTTCAATTCCCACAAAAGAGGGTGGGAAGCAGATAAATAATATCCAAGAGTAAATGGAAGATGTATTTGCCCAGATTCGGGTTGCAGTGAGCTAGAAGAAGACCACTCTTCCCTTGGCCTGTGTAACACTGGGCAGGACCTCATGACAGCCATCACACTCCTCCCCCTTGCAGCTCCTGCTTGGCCTAGAGGGGACCACAGACAACTTTCTAGAAGCAGCTACTCTCAGTCACCTCTCACTTCCGCAGCCCTAGAGAAGCCACAACTCAAACAAGAGCCTCCACTGTCACTTGCCTGCTCTGAGGCACCCAGGTTCTATTCTGCCTTGAGGAGTATGATGCTTGACAAGATAAAGATTGCAGACAGACCACGACCCATGGCTGTCATCCCTGATCTTCCAAAACTGTACAGGGCTCTGATCAACACTGCCACCCTCCTCAAAACTCCTTGGCAGTGGCAACAGTAAGGACTGAACCTGAGGTGACCACTTCTGCTGCAGCAAGTCTGCTGTCACCAGGACAGCCAAGGCTACGCTAGGAGCACCACGGCCACTGCAGCAGATATGGACGTAGGCTACTGCAGGTTGCAGACACGGCCCTATCCCAGATCGGTCCATCCTGCACACACTGTGGATGGCCCACCGCTCTGCCACTACTTCAAAGTGCCAGAATAGTCTGCACATGGCCACGCTGCTCCTTCTCTACTTAAGCAGTACCCTTCATACTTCTTGGGTCAGTACAGGTGAGCTCCTCTCTGTGCTCTGTCCCTCTGTGCAACAGAGGCCCCAAGAAAGCCCTGTTAGTGATTTTACTACACGGGTGGATTCCCCTAAGAGCTGGTAAGATTAAGAACTATTAGCCTCAACAGTCACCAACAGCTTGAGGGTGTTAGTGACAGAGCAGCTGAGCCAAGAAGAGGGGCCAAGAGAGAAACCTGCAGAGAGGGCACCAGAAAGCTCCCAATGGAGTACAAACTGAGGACCTCACAGGGGCAGTTGGAAGCCTCCAGATACAGTGACACCAAGAGAGGCACTAGCACTTGGAGCTCAGAGCTCTAACAGTAACGACTGAGAGTCGCTGACACCCGAAATCCCAGAGCTCATCAAGGGAGGTTCCTGCCAATTCATGATTTTCATATGAATTGAGCAAAAGAACTTCCAACTAAATGGTGACACGAAAATAAGGCCGATATGGTCATACTTTTATCATACCAAAAATTAGAGTCATATATCAAACTCAGAGAAACCGAAACATATCTATACAGGTGATGCTGGTCCAATAATGCGATGCCTAAACCCCACAATTAAACTGTTTGTTACATGCTTTATGAGTAACAAGCTGGATAATGTTCAACAAATTGGAAGACAGAAATATAATGTTCATTGTGGATAATATTTCATCTATAATAGGATGAAGTTCAGTACAAGGAAGCTCATGGTACATCTAACACTTTAAAGCACATTACACAAAGACTAAATGATAAGAAAATACAACTAGTCATACTGAATCAGAGTGAATCAAAAATGAAAACAAAGGATTGTTTTGAGAAATCAATTTTTAAAAAATCAGTTATAATAGATATTTTCTAAATTTAATGAAACAAGTTTCTAGTAACAATAATTTTATAGGTCAGAAATCTCTATTTTAAAAAGTGATACTACTGTATCTAACTTGATTAGTTAATTACTGTGCAAAGAAAAAACAG